GTTGGAAACAAAACAGCTCCACAACAATCAGTGCTACAGTGACACCATGTGGAAATGTCCCTTAGACTCTTGCAATGCTTGAAGCTGTAAAATTTTGCCCTACTTATCACACATCATGAATCATGAGACACATGCTGGCTCAATGAAACAATGACAGAAAATGAGCTCTCCTCAATTGTCAGTGCAGGAAAGATTAACATTTAGTCTTAAAATTGAAGCCAAATACACAACCAAAAAGCTAGAATGCTTCTGAATCATCAGTCCTCAATTTCCATGAGTGATTCCTAGATCATATCTTTCCCACCTCAGTAATAGCTGTTAATGATCTGTGCAGTGGCTTCAACCCAACAAGAGTGCACATTAAGGCTGCAACTAACAATTATTTTCATTACCCAATGAATCTACTGATTATCTTCTTGATTAGATGATTAATTGTTTTGTCATAAAAATGGCAAACACCATTTCCTAGGACCCACTGCGACATATTCAGATAGCTTTGTTTTTTTTAACCAACTGTCCAAAACAAAAAGATATTCAATATAATATTTTAAAAAGCAGTGAATCAGCGCATTAAGAAGCTGAAAACCAGAGAATAACTGGAATTGCTTGAAAATTGACTCAAAAAATTAATACATTTCAAAATACTTGCTTTTTTGTTGATCAACTAATCAATGGATCCACTAATTGTTTAGGCTCTGGTGCACATAGAACATTTTCTGTGTGAGTTTTTATCAGAGCATAAAACCTGAAGCCAGAATATAAAGGCCCTGGATCTCAGAGGTCCAGATGAGACAGAATCTGCCACCAGTCAGGAATCAGGATGAGGAAATGTACTAGAAGTCAGGAAGACTCCCAAATGACTAATGTGGCGAGGATATTAGATTAGTGTGAAATTCCTCTCTGTCCTCATGGGGGCTGGTGTGGCTCTGCCAGGTGCAGAAAGAAAATGGGTGTGATGTGATGTTTGGGGAGAGCTTAACCAGAGCTACAGTGCAAAAATCTGTCAGAACAGAGAGGCTGAGATCTCATCTGAAAAAAACAGCACCAGGCCTGAGCACTGCACACTCACTTTAAGAAGATCATTGCAGTGTGCAACTGCTGAGAAACGTGTCTATGCAAATAGAAACTAAATTAAAAAAAAAAAAAAAAAAACAACAGATCGTACGTCTCCAGCAGATATGATGGTATTAAAGGTTTAACACAACAGTGGTTATGAGAGCGGATGCAGCCCAATACTGACTGTCAACTCCTTTCACTACCTTCCCTATCCAGCTGTAGAGGTGTGGGTCAACAAGCAGCGTTGAATCATTGTAGGCAAAAAATCTATCCTACTCACGACGCTGCCTTTAGGCTACCTCCACAGCTTGTGATCATATTTTCAGTTAATTAAAATCTTGTAGCCTGGGTTACCACATTTGATCCAGTGCAGGTGTCCATTTGTTGTTCAGATTTACTCAGTGCTGTAATCGAATCACAATGGTCAGGTCGCACTATTACATTTAGCTTTAAAACAATCATCCCTCATGCCTGATCTTGCCTGTGGTTTGAACTTTGTTAATGCAATTTGCCCACAGGAAATGTATGATGCTGCCCCCTGGTGGACAAACCATATACAAACTCAGTGACACTCCAGCTAGTATTTATCACTGGTCACATTTTATGTTATAAATTGTAATGCATTTTTTATTTCTCTAAAAATAAATTTCTTTATTTTGATGTAAACTGCAAATATTGAATTCGAGACACATATAAGCACATTTTCCAGATTTACAAACACATATATATATATATATATATATATAGTCTGGAGGACTAAATAATTGCAATAAAATCCAAATATTACTATTTTCAAATGTCAGATTGGACAAAGATTACCTGACTGTCTGATACTACTGATGCAATCTGCACATTATTTACTAGGAAGTAATCACACCATCACAAATCACCTATAAACCAAACCAGAGGTCATTTTGGAAACAAAACAGCTCCACAACAATCAGTGCTACAGTGACACCATGTGGAAATGTTCCACTTAGACTCTTGCAATGCTTGAAGCTGTAAAATTTTGCCCTACTTATCACACATCATGAATCATGAGACACATGCTGGCTCAATGAAACAATGACAGAAAATGAGCTCTCCTCAATTGTCAGTGCAGGAAAGATTAACATTTAGTCTTAAAATTGAAGCCAAATACACAACCAAAAAGCTAGAATGCTTCTGAATCATCAGTCCTCAATTTCCATGAGTGATTCCTAGATCATATCTTTCCCACCTCAGTAATAGCTGTTAATGGATCTGTGCAGTGGCTTCAACCCAACAAGAGTGCACATTAAGGCTGCAACTAACAATTATTTTCATTACCCAATGAATCTACTGATTATCTTCTTGATTAGATGATTAATTGTTTTGTCTATAAAATGGCAATCACCATTTCCTAGGACCCACTGCGACATATTCAGATAGCTTGTTTTTTTTAACCAACTGTCCAAAACAAAAAGATATTCAATATAATATTTTTAAAAAGCAGTGAATCAGCGCATTAAGAAGCTGAAACCAGAGAATAACTGGAATTGCTTGAAAATTGACTCAAAAAATTAATACATTTTCAAAATACTTGCTTTTTTGTTGATCAACTAATCAATGGATCCACTAATTGTTTAGGCTCTGGTGCACATAGAACATTTTCTGTGTGAGTTTTTATCAGAGCATAAACACCTGAAGCCAGAATATAAAGGCCTTGGATCTCAGAGGTCCAGATGAGACAGAATCTGCCACCAGTCAGGAATCAGGATGAGGAAATGTACTAGAAGTCAGGAAGACTGCCCAAATGACTAATGTGGCGAGGATATTAGATTAGTGTGAAATTCCTCTCTGTCCTCATGGGGGCTGGTGTGGCTCTGCCAGGTGCAGAAAGAAAATGGGTGTGATGTGATGTTTGGGAGAGGCTTAACCAGAGCTACAGTGCAAAAATCTGTCAGAACAGAGAGGCTGAGATCTCAGTCCTGAAAATTAAACAGCACCAGGCCTGAGCACTGCACACTCACTTTAAGAAGATCATTGCAGTGGTGCAACTGCTGAGGAAACGTGTCTATGCAAATAGAAACTAAATTTAAAAAAAAAACAAAAAAAAAACAACAGATCGTACGTCTCCAGCAGATATGATGGTATTAAAGGTTTAACACAACACGTGGTTATGAGAGCGATGCAGCCCAATACTGACTGTCAACTCTTTCACTACCTTGCCCTATCCAGCTGTAGAGGTGTGGGTCAACAAGCAGCGTTGAATCATTGTAGGCAAAAAATACCATTATCCTACTCACGACGCTGCCTTTAGGCTACCTCCACAGCTTGTGATCATATTTTCAGTTAATTAATCTTGTAGCCTGGGTTACCACATTTGATCCAGTGCAGGTGTCCATTTGTTGTTCAGATTTACTCAGTGCTGTAATCGAATCACAATGGTCAGGTCGCACTATTACATTTAGCTTTAAACAATCATCCCTCATGCCTGATCTTAGCCTGTGGTTTGAACTTTGTTAATGCAATTTGCCCACAGGAAATGTATGATGCTGCCCCCTGGTGGACAAACCATATACAAACTCAGTGACACTCCAGCTAGTATTTATCACTGGTCACATTTTATGTTATAAATTGTAATGCATTTTTATTTCTCTAAAAATAAATTTCTTTATTTTGATGTAAACTGCAAATATTGAATTTGAGACACATATAAGCACATTTTCCAGATCTTTCCAATTTTACAGACTATACGAGCATTGTGTTCTGTTTCACATGCATCTTTGTATCGCCACACATTGACTTTAGCAGTCAGGTAATGCCACAGAACTGTGCAGGTATCAGTATTAACTTGTCTACACTAATGTTAGTGACATCCATCAAACTTCACCAGTGCTGAAAATTGTTTTAACTGGTTCTCATGTCTCTGCCAATAAAAATATTACATAATGACAAGGTAAGACTCACTTTTAGTCATACATTAAAAACACCTTTAGGGGTTTTAAGATGTTTTTTTAATCAATTCAACAAGCTTCTCATATCAAATGTTCAAATCATACTCTCAACTGTGTTTCACATAAAGATATACTAAATTTCAACAAGCTAAATTAAACATCCTTTGTGACATGTAAACATAAAAACACAGACTGAAAGTAAGACATCACTCTTAAGGTCTTTTCCTGTTAATATTGTGAGGCCTGTTAGTTTACATTAAGTAAAAAAGAAAGACAACTGTACACAAAATTTACATTCCTCTAACAGTTCAACATGGCTTTTCTTGTCTTTTTTTTTTTTTTTTTTTTTTTTTTACAATCAGGTTCAGTATGTACAATTACAGGGAAGATATGCGGAGGATTGATTTGTCTCATTGCACACTGTGTACAGATGATCATGACAGGTTATCTGAAAGAAGAAATATTCACCTGAATGATCACAAACGAGCACAAATGCTTTAAACTATTTCAAATATACTGAAGTGAAAAACAGTGCCACTGTTGTAAAAGGTAAACTGACCATGTTGGTTCTTTAAGCGATGTTACAACTGTAGGTTTCGATGTCTAGTTTAGATTTTTTCGTCTGCTTCCAAATAGTTCTGTTTATTTTATATACACTTTAAACAAGTGAGCCATATTTGACTTCTACTCAACACTAACAATAACCTGAAGCCTATAACACACACTTGCACATTTCTGCTCTCCCCGTTAGTTGAGAGATTAAAATTCAGGCACTCGAGGAGAATCACAATAAACAGAAAAATATTATCTGTATGTTGAGGTGAGAATTTGAATGGGCAGGTACCCAACCCCCAAAACAGAACTGAATTTTAATTCCTTGTATATTTCCCTGTTTACACACAAACACCACCTTAGAAAGTAGAAAGTGGAGACTAAATTATGGAGTGTTTTTTCAGACATTATTTGTCTTATTGTCTAACGAGTGCTACAAATCTAGTACATTTTCCATCAACTTAAGTTTCTTAAATATGAGTTGTATGAAAAACTAAAGTGATTTTTCTGGATAAAGTCAAACAAGTAATTCTGTTGGATTACATTTACAAAGAACCTTTCTGTGATACATAAATGAATCTGATGACAACATAGCAATTGTACTTCTTCTGGCAGATACAAATAATGTAGACAAAAACACACACGGTTATGTTTGTGACAGCCAAAGCAGAAAAGGAAAACGTTTCTTGTTGAATTTAAGGAAAAGAAATCTTGTTTGTGGAGACCAGGAAATCAACTGTGGAACTTTTTTTTTTTAATCTATAAAACCACCGTCTTGTTTACATTAGGTTGTCTGTACATTTGCCATTTTAAGCTTTAATTTACACTATTAAACAGGCACCATATTCCACTTTGAACACGCCGTTTGGTCATAAACCTCATCTTTTACACAGTAGAAGTTTGTGTGCTTGTTTCTGGAGGTTTTTGGTGGCATCACTGTCTCTCTGTTGTCTCCAAGTTTGAGTGTTTTTTATATTCACAATATATAATGAATTTTCACAATAAAAGCTTACTCTTGTCAAGTGACAGTCTATGTTCATTGTTTGGGTCTGGTTTCAAAAAAGTTTCCAGGTTCTTGATGAGACAGCTTGATTACAACCATTATCTAATCCACTGCTTGCATCAAGCGTGTGATCTGGCAGTTGGGGAGGGTATTCTGTGAACCAGGCTGGGACTCTACCACTTGCCCCTCTTGCTCCAGTCTTTGGGTGTGAAGTGAAGGCATTTAGGATCTATGCGCAAGTGTCTCTTCTGCATTGCTCTTTCATGGCCCTCCACAATGTCCTCTGAAAGAGTCAGGATGTACTGACCCTAGATCCAAGAGAGGAGACAAAGTCATTTCACATTCTCTAAAGCATACTGCAAACCATCTGAGAGTAAGCATAGCTAATTTAATCAATCACTGATGGAAGTTTTTAAATAACATTTTATCCATGATCACACTATCATCAACCAAACCCATCAGTCAAATCCTCCAAACTGGCTATCGTAACTCTCTCCACTTGAATTTAACAGATTTTTTAAAAACCATTTTCCTCACAATCATCAGTTTAAAAACATTTTCAAATGCAAGACTGTGTTCACATCTGGCATTAACATAAGTCTTGGATGATCCGATCACAAGTGGACTGCTCTAAGTACGTCACTTCACATCTGGCATAAGAATGCATCTCCAGGGACTTTGATTTAAAACACTATACATTTTTTGCATCCCATCTTGGAGCTCCAGTGCTGCTTTATGATGGGAATCGAAAAAATGGATTTAGAGACTCCTCTGAGTTTGTTAAAACTGAGTTGAGGGAAACTGTTTTTCATTGCAGAGACGAAGACTATCATGAAATACTGCAGATGATATGTGAATATTCTTTAATCAGTGTGAATGATTGTGGCGTAGATGAAAAGACCTCAGCTGAACAGGTCTAATCGTGGTTGTGAGTTTTTTGAAGATATGATGGTTGTAGTCTGAAGTTTTTTTTTTTTAAATCATCAAATCATTACCATCAGTATTACTGGGCAGGCTTATGCCGTCACAATCGTAGGTCTGTAAGTAACATATCTGTGTCATATCTGTATGATGCATATTTTTGTATTTTATCTTCCAATTACTACCAGGTATGTTTTGTCTCTGGCTGTTTAATAAATATGTTCAGAAAAATACTGCAAAATAAATTGCAAGATTTCACCACTTTAACATTCATTAAGGAAATACAAGTCTCGTAAATGATGCATGACTGTGGTCACTTCTTCAAACAAAATTTACCAACTTTTGTACTTTTTTTATTTTCATTCAAGTTAGGCATTGTAGATCAGATCAGAAAATTAGGACGAATGGTCGTCAGTCACCTTACACACAGCGTTGGTTTCTCACCTTGTAATAGTTGATTAGGTTGAGGTACTGAAGTGTTGAAATTACATCTTCTTTCTTTACACTTGTGATCTCACTGATCTCACTGAGGGTACGAAAAAAAAGTCGAACAAAGAGAGAATGAATGATTACATTTCTATTCTGGAAATGATTGTTGGAAGTTGATAAAATGTTGAGATGTCAGACACATACTTGATGGTAATCTGCGGCCTCTCTCCATTGTCAGGTTTAAGGTCCATGAGAATTTCCAAGATGGTCTGGGACCAGTAGGAGCGATAGGACAAAAGACCAAGGTCAGAAAGCGGCTTCTCAGGAGTTCCCGTCTTCCCTTCGACCTTGGACAGTTCGTAACCTGACAAATACACAAAGTGAGCAGATAATTAGCACAGGTGAGGTAAAAAAAAAAATCAAATATACAAATATTTACTGAACATGAGCAACAATGACACTCACTAAACTCAATGAGCAGTTTGCCATAGCCTCTCCGCTGGTAGGGAGGCAGGGTCAGGATGCAGGCAACATTATAGTCTTCAGTTGACTCTTTTTCCTGCACACAGAAAACAAAAATTAAGTTTAGTTTTAGGAACCCCTGATTAGATAGAGCTGTGATGAGTAGACTGTACATATACACTGTGCCAGTAGCTCAACATGTGTGTACCTTAGAGAAGTAGCCCACTATGTGGAAGCCTTTGGAGTCATACTCTGTCATTACATAGAAGAGGAAGGGGTCCGTGTCATAGTACAAGGTTTTGTGATCCAGGAAACACTTAGCAAGTAAACACAGGTTCTGGGAATAAGTCTGGAAAAATATGATAGACATATATAAATCAAAAACAAAATAAAAACAGTCAATGTTGTAAGAATGTTGAGGAGAGAGAAAAATATCCTATCACTGACTTTGTTTTTCCTGCCGTCAATCTCAAAGAATGAGATGGTGCCTTTGCGGTAGATCTCGTTGCCTGGAGGATGTCTCAGATTACACTTTGTCTGTCAAAAATGATGATAGACACAAGAGGATGAGAACAATCTAAAAAGCCAGAGATCAAGATCTTAAGCTGGTGACATATTGAGGATTTTTACCAAATGCCTCTGGAGACACTTCAGGCTTTTGAGGTACTTGAGGCAGAATTCACAGAGGTAGAGGATGGGCAATGTGGTGAGTTCCTGTGGGTACGGTGAGAAGTACCAGGGCTTTAGTCTGTGACGTCCTAGCTCTATACATTCTATGTTTTTCATCCGGGTAACGATGTCGTCATGGCTGCGGTCGGACACCAGACTGCCTGTCATGCGGGGAGCAGATGGGATGCCATCCGAACTGTCCTGAGAATCCTGGTGGTAAACAATGTGGGCATAGACACATTAGACACTCCTGCTGCAATAAATAGTAAATAGTAAAAAATTGTGTTAAAACAAAAAGCTACTAAATTAAATGGAGCATATATATTTATTTTATGCATTTTTACACATTTAGATTTCTGTAAGTAACTTGTATAATCACAATGGTGGAACACGTTACCAAAAGGACTAAACCTGGGTCTGAGGTAAGTAACACCTCTGTTTTATTGGACCCATTAAGGCAGAGCTGAATTTGGACAGCAACACACAATCAACGGGCAATAATAGGAAATAAAACAGACCTCTGGTGGTGGTAGAAAGACACTGGCACTTTGAGGGTTGTTATACTGCAAAACCTTTATCATCTAGCAGAAAAAGACACAAAAACACGGGCTTGTGGAAACTAAAGAGGGGAATAAAATAATTCTTATTTACACTGAACAGTTTAGTTAAGGGTTGCCAGATTGAAAGCACGTCAGTGTAACATTTGTAGTTTTAGTACATTCCATGGTGGGTTCATCAGTAGCCAACCAGCAATACTGGCAATCATAGGCAGTGATAGAAATGTCACACAATGAATGAAGAGTGAGGAAAAGAGCAAAGGCAAACGTTAGATCAATTATTTCAAGTGGGTTTGACAGACTACTTTGTTTTATATGACAAACCCACTGGCCACTGTCATCTGAGATGATGTGAGAACGTAGGAGGTCAGCTGCAGCAACTGTAATTCAACACAACAGCTGAGCTGCTAATGTGAGTACCTTGACGGAATAAATACAAACTCTGACCTGCTAAGTTTGGACAAATCATTTTTTCAGTGTGTATAACTGCATGTATGTAATCTAAATAGGCCATGTTATATTCAGCTCTTCTGCTGGGTTACGTAACCAACCTCTTAAAAACAAAGAACATACATTTTAAATGATTTTGTCCAAAGATCATAAACATTTTGAAATACAAATTACAAATATGGGATATTCATATAATAAGATGAATTTAGAGTAATACTTTTTTTTTTGTTGGTATTATATGCTTGCAAATGACTACTCAAAAAGAGACTCCTCACTGTACAGTTGCAAAAATTAATTTGGTCACACCATTGAATGTCAACATATGGCAAACAAAAAGCCAATATAAATCAACTAAATGTCACATGGAAATTACACATAAGACTGAAAATCTTGTAGAAAATAATCATTCAAAGAGTGGATGTTGAAAAATTCACATGTATGAAAGCAAAACATTTGGTCCCCAATACTTGCTGGTATGTTATAGGTCATTATGTTTCTTTCTGTTAGGCTGAAATGTATGATTCAATAACCAAACAACATTACAACTAAAGCAAGGTCCTGATAAAATAGATTTAGGCTCATGTGTAACAAAACAGCAGGATGTTGTGGCGTATAATGTCCTGCTTTATATCCCATGATAAAATTAAACATTAAAAGTATTAACTGGCAAATATTTTTGTCAACATTCACATACACTTGTGGTTTTTAAGGATGGTTATAAAGAAAAGAGAATGATGAAAAATGAAATGGGAAGACCTCTTAAGAGAGAAATGAAAAGAATAATTAGAGGAAGGCAAAGCATTCATGTGAGAAACATTTTTTACTGTTATAAAAAATTTGAATTAGTTTTCAGAGACATGCTTTTGGAAGAGAAACTAATGCCACAGGCACTATGTGTTGTAGTTTTGGCTTTAATATTTGTATGTATGATAAGGACATTTAAATGTTACTTGACTAAGGTATAGAATTTAAATTCTGAGAATAATGTATTTTTAATTGACATGGTTCAAAATGAAAGAGGATAAAATCATGCATCTATATAACCAAAAATGAGTATGAGGATACTCTGACATTTGAAATAAGAAAATAATAACCCGAGTGTAAAAGAATTATACTCAAGTTACATACCTCGTCAGTACCCCCACAATTAGCTTTCCTCTTCCTCCCGGGCTGAGAGGGGATGAGTCGTCGGGCAGTGCCGTTCTGTCATTACACAGACATGAGAAAATAGTCATTAGCCAATGATAAAATATTCCAACTCAAACATTTACGAATCGAGAGGATGTCCTTTACTGTTGTGAGCGAGGAGAGCTGGTCATGGTCTTCACGGGACTTAAAGGTGTTGGTCTCCCTCACAGCAGGAAAAACAGATGCCTGAGAGGCTTCAGCTGAACTTGGCAGGGAGGGCACGGGGGTGGCCGGGGATACCTGAGTCGCCAAGGGGACGGTTTCTACTTTCCTTTTCTGCAGCAGACAAACGTTATTAGACATGTTGCTTAAAACATACACAGGCCAACACTCTACTTTTGTTTCCAAACAATATTATTTGATTTCAGCCAGACCAGAGACATGAGGTAAAATATTAAAATTACAACCAATGTGATGATTAAAAGCTGGGTGTCTAATCTAGTTTATAAAGGAGTGCCATCTTAATATTACCTGCAGTTTGTTCACTGATAGAGCCAGGTTAAACTAGTCCAATGTAAATTATACCGCATTTAAACCTGGTATTAAGATGCAATGGACACAGATTAGCTATAACATATGTATATTCAAAATATATATACAAAATATGTATTAAAAAGTAAGTTAACAAGTTTTCTTTTTCCCCCTCCTAAAATGCCAACTAGCAAACATCAACAATTTTTCACTTTTTTCTCTGCTGTGCCATTTAACATGTTAGCGGCTTCAGTGTATATGATTTTTATACATTTCATTCAATGTCTGCAAATAATTAAAGTTCAGAAAATAAATCAATCTTCAGCACTACTACACAAGAGATTACAACATAGAAAAATCATGCCAGCTACCTTTAAAGATTTGAGGCTGAAATGCGGCTTGACAAGTCCAGTACGTACACCTGACAAACATTTGGATACACTGTGTGTTAAATCACTTCCAGATTTGATCTGCACGACTGGATCATCATCTTCTTTTATTGTGTCATGGTTGTTTATATCTGGATTTCCATGCAGTTCAGCATGGCCCGACAGCTGTATGATCATACAAGATGCATGTTAACACCAGGTTTAAACAAGGTCTCAGTGATTTCTGAAATGGGTAAATTCAAGTTGTACCGGTGTGGGTAGGGTTTTGCCTCTGGAGGGAGCTGTGGCAGATTGTAGGTTGAGATCTAGACTCTTCCTCTGAATTGAACAGAAAGGAAGAGAAGGACAGGGGTTAACTCATATTCATTTTAACCCTTGGGTTAATACTGTATAACAAATTATTATTCAGCAAACACACAATCTAACTAGCGTCTTCAATAATAAAACATTCCTTTAAAATAAACAGTTTCTTTGATGAAGTGGGAATACAAAAATGTAAGAATGAAGAATATCTAAGAATATCAATGTTTCTTAAAAATGAGAGTTCCCTATAGCACCTACTCCTTAAATGTTTTTTCTAAAATTATTATATATATTATATCATTATCATTATTATTATTATTATTATTATTATTATTATTATTATTATTGTTATATGTCAGGCCTGGGTTAAATATAAGAAGAATCTAATGTATATATTCCTGTGCCCATAAGGCAAACACATCATATATTCTGTTGGTAGATTTGAACAATTCATTGTTCAAGCATCATACAACATATTGTAGGTCATTTGTAAAGTGATCTGTTATTCTTATTTACTTAAGTGTTAACCTGCTTGTAGTATTTACCAGTGACTTCAAATACTAATGTACCTTGCTATGAGCTACACCATACAGGTTATTATACTCACTTAGAAATACTCATAACATGCTGAAACAAGACTAATCTCAAAAAATAGCATAACTAGTATTACTTGGAGCCAAGCAACATAGGATATAAAATGTTGGCTCATATTATATAAAGCTGTGATTTCACAACAGTAAAATTATATTGCCAAACCTGACTGTATTCATGTGATGTTTGAGGGTCCAAGATAAACATCTGGTGGTGTAACATGTAAGCTTACCACTTCTCTCTCTGGAGAACTGGGACGGGAGCCTGGAAGACCATTCTTAGTTGGCGTCTTAGCTTCTTTCTTAGGGAACTGAAGCTTCTTCATGTCCAGCCTGTCCGCTGTGACCCACTCATCCAGACGCTTGTTGACTTTTAACACAAGCAATTTTACACAAACAAGAAAACATTTGCTGTGATGTTTCTGTGCAACGTAATTCAATTCAAAATTACCCAAGAAGGGACACAAATTATACTCACAGTCGATGTAGTGAACATAGTAGAGCTTTCTCCCAGAGACTTCTTTCACACTCAGAATTTCAGCCAATGCTGTATGAAAAGCAGAGAGGTCATTAACATTATAGATTTACCATCATTCTTAAGAACTGACAACAGACATTGTGGGTTAAAGACTGTGTGGTTTCCACTAAACGACGATCACTAGTAATGTAAAATGATTAGCCAATTAACCGATTTGTGGACCAATGGAAAATCAATCACAAAAAACCCATTTGTTGGTTCCGGCTTCTCAAATGTGACAAACTGTTGTTTCACTCCGTTTTAAATTATTTTACATCAAGTATCTTTTGGGTTTCAGACTGTTGTTCAGACAAAACGAATAATTTAAAGTCTTTGGTCAGTTTTTAGCTCTGGAAAATTTTGATGGCCATTATTCACAATCACTGACATCTTGTAGAGTAAACTATTATTTTAAGCATTAGTTGCAGCATTAAGATAATTCTGCATCATGAGATGATAAAAAAAAGCATGAGAAAAACTATCACCTATCTAAATGCTACACAAGTTGTTCATGTACCTCTTGTCTTTTATTTACATATTGTGCAAGAATGGACAGTTGTACCTCCTCCAACCTCTAATATCACTTTGACAAGTAATATTCAAAGATGGGAACATCTATTTATTCAATACTCAGGGGGACACACATAGTGAATAGTTTCAAGCGTCAGAATTTAGCCAAACGCTTTGGAAACCACTGGCCAAAACCCGCTTGGAAGTGAGGTTAAAAATGTCATAGAATATGTGCATACATGCTGAAATGTCATGATAGTAACGCTGCCTTAATAAGCTTTGCGAAGATCAACAAAAACATAAAGCTAAGTGTCAGTCTGATTTTGGTTGGTATTATGCTGGTATTATTTACTTTTCTCCTTTACTATCCTCTCAAAACAAGTATGATCAACCACAAACACTTTAGTCCAAACTTGGCATTTATAAGTGAGTCAGTTTGTATTCAGACAGACAGCTATGTGCCTGAACATCTGATTCAGATTTGTAAACAACAACCTGATATCATATGTATTTCGGCTCGTCTTTCCCAATAAAATGCATTTTTGTAAAAACGTCCCCAGGAGTAGGCTGATTAACTTCTTATTGGTTGTAACACTGTTTTAGTAAACATTCAAATTAAATTCATTCATGGTGTACACCTGCATGGGTCCCTTCTGAGTGTGGCATTTACGGTGCTTTAACCAGAGGCCGAAGCGTACGTTCACAACAGCTGAGGTTCGCTACTTAGCATTAGCATTAGCTTAGCACTGAAAAAACAACCGGACAATACTTACGCCATTCGTCCTCGTGTTCTTGGTTTTTACGAAGAACGGGGAGGCGACAGCCCTCAACAATCTCGACCTGTCGAAAAATAATGAATTAATTTCCGCACAGAAACCGGTCAATGTCTCTAATATAAAATAGCATCTTTCGAAAACATACCGACGATGCGTTGTCCGCCATCTTCGTCATCTGTGAGAGCAGCAGCAGCAGCAGCAGCAGCAGCAGCAGGGTGTTGTGGGAAAATGCCGGTCCACGTCGAAGATGAAATAAAGACCAAGATGAAGCTGTGATGAGCGGAAATCGGAAAACCAACCCGGAAAAGACTAGGAACGAAACAGCCTCTGCATCTGAACTTTTATTTTTAGGTAGGTTTTAGTTTGGCTATTAGTTGTCTGAACTTTGCCGAAAATCCAGCGGGTTTACTGTGTGAATAACTTAAGGTAATGAAAAGTTCAAAACACTTACAAAACCCTTGTAAGGTATTAAAGTGTTAAGTGTTTAATTTCCCTTACAAATGTCTTCAATATTTTTTCTAGGCTGCAATTGGCAGTAACATTACTTCCCAAAGTATTACTCATACGCACCTCTGACCCTTTGTGGACCTCAGGTAAATACGTCATTTTTTTAATTGATCCACCCATCAATCAATAATATTGTCAATCATATTGTTTAACAATTATACAGCCGGGAAGTGACTGAAAATTATTTGATATAAACAGGTATTAAATTACATTCTTTGTGGTCTTAAAAATATTTGATTTAGTGAATCCATTTTAATTGCAGTTTAGTGATAATCATTTCAATGTCAAATTGTCCAACTTGGGACAAATGCAAACTGACAGCAATAACCATTATGCTGGCAAAACTGCATTAATACAGTGGTGTAATACAGATGACTTGCATTACACCACTGTCCAAGTCCAAGATATAGTATCTTTATCTTTTGCTGAAAACGATTGTCATTTTAAGATGAGGTTTGTACATGCTCAGTCAGCTGGGTTTTGCTGCTGGTAAACTTTGATGAGACAATCAATGCCCAACCTGGTAGGAGCCCAATGAAATAGTGGCTAGCTGAGCCAGTCAGTTTACTACATTCACCTTTGAGACATCTGCGTGCCAAGACTTTCAGTGATCAACTTCATCCTCCAGGGTCACTAACTGCTGTACAGGACTAGATCTGCAGCAGCTTTGTGGCTCCCACAACTTCCTCCTATGGCTTTGCTCCTGTACTATTTGTACTGGCATCTCTGGTGAAATCTGTCTCGTGTCCCATTCTCTAGTCACTTGCCAGGAGCAGAGAGTGGCTGTGGCTCTGGTGGAACTTAAACTATCTCTTCAGAAAGATGACTGTCATTTTTTCTGAAAATGACAACGCTGTTGAACAGGCAGCCAAGAGAACTGGCCCATTCAAATCTGGGTCAGCTCCTTATGGTCTTGCTGCTGAGACTAAGAGGATAAAGTAAGCCCCTTCACATAGTGGCAATTATTCAGAATGCACAAACACTATATTCAGGGCTTACAGAGTTTTCTTGAGTATTGTAAGAGCAGCTAAAGGCATCAGCCCTCTGATCTCTACAATACATGTCCTCTTCTCTGGAATTGAACCTGTCCTAGACCCTATTTCAGTTGTGAGACCTGACCTGAGGTTTGTAGGTGGTTGCAGAGTTTGTGCAAGAACAAAACTGTCAACATTTGGAGCTGCTCTCTACAAGACATTGTAGATAATAATGTTGTGATAATAAATGTGGCTTTCGGTGAGGGCTTTGATTTTGTGCAGGCCAATGGTAACAGCACTCCTCTTTGCCCAGATGTGTGTTAGAATAGGAGCAAACAGGTTGGAGTTTACAGTATTGTGTTTTAAACAGCTGGATTATAGGCTCCAATCCCGTAATGTCCATACACAAAACTGCAAAGAGACTGCGTGAGATGTTAGCACATGAAATACAGATATACAGTAGTCCTGCATTCTATCAAGGAAAAATGGTGCAGATTTCTTTTCAGCAGGGGTCCCTGTTGTCAACAAACTTATCTAGTGTCAAGGGAAAAAACTGGCCTTATACAGAATGTTTCCTACATGTCTGTAAATGGAGATTGAGACATTAGTTAGACCACGTGGGATCTGAGTCTAAAAAAAACATGAAAACAGCTGAAAGTTCAGTAAATACATAATCATTTAACATTTATTTGATGTTTTCATTTTCCCCCAATGATTTCCTCCACTCGTTACACCCTAATTATTTTAAAATTAAATTAATTTCTTCATTTGAAAAAATATGACTAAACCACTAAAGCCCTATGTACATTTGCGGAAGCAGTTAAACACTCTCATCATGCTGCATTGTGTTTGCCCAGAATTACTGCTCTTGCAGTCATCAGGACGCTGATGGCACCTTTGGGCTGTAACCTGTAAAAGACAAAAATGTGGAAATCATGCTTCATGATTTTCTGGTTCTTTATGATATTTACACCCAGCTGTCCATACCATCTCCTCTTAACTTTGGACTTACTCTGTCCATAATAATACAGTTTAGATTTGAGAAAGCTGTTCAAAGTTAGAGGTATTTCCTTCAAAAAAGAGGTGTTTTCATCTAAATACATGACATGAAACAACAGACAAGGTATTACTGCTACAGCTACAGCCTTTTTTGAAATGCCTCTAATGTGACTTCAAAGCTAAAACCAGTGTCTCTTGGAACATTCACATGAAGAGTGAATTAAAAGTGGTTATGTTTTTAAAAAAATGACGTGTCACGCAACCACATCTGTCAAGAATTAACCCTTGAAACTTGTGTACTGGAAAGTATGGACAACCTGTGTTCAGTGCTCTTATGTTTATGGGATATCTGACTGAACAAACAGCAAATAACCAGATATACATTAACTTCATTAACTTTACTGGACTATATAAGCCTCTAAAGTAAATAACATGAACTAATAGCAGTGTGTTTGAGCCAATCATCTCACTGAGCAAGGGAAAAGGTTATAAATAATCTTTATTATAATCCTTGGAACAGCGTTCAGTATACAGAACTTGCATTTTTTGAGTTGTGGAACCATAAATTTAACTGTAAATGATGAAACAAATTACATCAGACAAAAAATAAAAAGAACGATCTGTGTTAAACAGCCTTACACTCAACTTTTCAATCAGACAATCGTAGCTTTCTGTTGGGACCGCCTGCATATTATTGTTTACCATGCATGATAGAGTGCACTAAAGTCAGGTGGCTCGTTATGACAAACAGGTGAAACAGTGACATGATAAACAAAAGTGTCAAAGAGAGTGATTTGAACATACGCTCATCAGCTGCATCCCGCACAGTCACTTCCTGTCTCCTCTTAACACTGCTTATACAGGATTATTTTTGATTAAGATTAAATCATTTAACATCAAGAGCTGGATCATATCTGTAATGATTACCTTACTAAGCTGGAGACACTGGAAAACAAATCCTAAGAAACACGACTGTTTTAGGAGGATTAAAAATCCAAAAATCAGGGAACTCCAGTGGGATTTTGGATTACTACAAACATTTTGGATGTATTTTCAGAGCTCTTTCTTTGGTCAGGTAATTAATGGGAACATAATCTCACTGAAGAGTGCGCCCACATCATATTTCACATCTTGCAGCAGAGGAAGTATGATTTGTTTTCTTCTTTGGTACCACAGGCCTTTAGACTTAAAGCTGACACTTTTCCAGACTGGTTAATGACTTCAACACTGCTAATTATCCCTGCTTGGTCTCTGGCTTGAAGCTATTTCTTTTCTGCAGTATTTTTTTTCTTTTACAAAGTCATACGCGCAGGTCTGCTACCAACTCATGGTTTTTGATATAATTTGAAGAAGGAAAACCCATATCTGCTGTGTTGGCAGTTAAAACTGACTTTATGCAATATTTTTTCCCATGCTACAAATTTTTCTGTACTAACCTGAAAACCAATTATCTTGGCGGGGGTCTGGCATTAAAATGGCAGCATCTGCTCAGTGGCTTTAACTTATCCAGCACCCATCTATTAGCCTCTTTTACTGCACAGATGCAACAAAGACAAAACAAAAAATGATGGGTGAAATAATGAAAATGAAGATGAAAAGATGCAAAGATGCAAAAAGTGCAGATTGCAGCGTCACATTTTTTTTCATGAAATTAGTCTCATAGAGTTAAAATACCTTTGGATGGTTATTGCACATAAGAAAACAGGCAGGAACAAAATGACCCAAATCAATATAAAACATATAAATATCACTAATGCCACAGCAGTTGGAGGTAAAACAATTAAAAATCACAATGTTGGCTATTGCTATTAATGACAGAATCCAAACCTGCAGCTGCTACAACTGACCTCAGACGCTTCCTAAAGACACCGCCAATCTCTCAAACTTTATCACGATGCATTTAGTTGACTGTTGTTTACTCTTGCCATCTTCCATCCAGCTCATTTCTCACACGTCTCCACTACCTTCACACTCCTGATTCTTTCTCTTTTTTTTTGTTTGTTTTAAATCTACACCAGTGATGCACAATTGATTTCAGATATTCTGAAAATTTTCAGCAGAAAGCATTTAGGATTTGTTTTTTTCTCAAACATAGCAGGATACATACATTTTGATGATGAAATAAAATAATTATGCTATACTCTGAAATTTAATATTTCATAAATTTCATTCCTAAAGTGACCATGCAACATTCAGTTGCTGTTTTCCTGTTATACTTTCAAGCAGCGTTCGTCACATAGCTATATAAAAACAAAAGGAAATACAAATAAATAAAAAAGAATAAACATACACTGAAAAGTGCAAATGTACATTTGTTTACAGCATGACATATTCACTGTACAATCATTGATTATATACTCACATTATTTTATGCATTATAATAAGGATTACTAACTAGCATAGTTTGAGTAAGAAATATTTCATAGCAAGTCTATTGGAAAATATTTGCATTGCCCTGTGACAAGGAGAGGCTCTTCTAAACATTGCCAAGGGTGAATGTGTGTGTTTGCTTGTGTGTACTTGCGTGTATGCACATCTCCGTGCAGATGTACCTGTGTGTCTGTGTGTGTGCGTGTGAGTGTATGTGTGTGTGTGTGTGTGTGTGTGTGTGTGTGTGTGTGTGTGTGTGTGTGTACATGTGGGATCCAGCATGTACGCTGACATAAGGTGTATGTGCAAACAATGAAGCAGAGAA